GGTTGGAGACTTTCTGAAAACCAGGCCCCTTTAGGAGATGTCACGTCTGAGCTCCCAAAACCACTAGCCCCTTTTGAAAATGGAGGATATTTCTCTTTGCCACATAGCTCCCATTAAATGGCACCACTTTGGAAATGCAGCGTTTACACAGATAGCCATGGCTGATCCTCGAAGGGTCTGGAGATTTCAGCACACCAGATGCCTATTGTTTCATGAGACATATCCAAAGCTGAAATCTTCTACCCAGTCCCCTTCCTCCCCCCTTCCCCATCCAAACTCCCAACTGCACTGTTCTTTCTCGGTTTCTTCCTTACTTTTCTGACTTATTGAATCACCAGCTCTCTGGGGAGCTTTGGCTCCCCTCTCGCTCCCAGGCTGGCGTTGCGAGCACTGGCTCATGGTGATCAGAGAAGCTTCATGTACTGTCCTCACTTGCAGGCCCTGCCCCCGCAGCTCCCACCGGATGGGAACCAGGGATGCTGGGGCGTGCCGGCTACTTCCAGGAGCGGCGCAGGGCAAGGGCAGTCAGAGAACTTGCTGATAGCCCTGCTGTAGCATCGACCGGGAGAGACCTGAGCAAAGCATCCCCCCTGCCCTAGCCCTGAGCCCCCTCCTACACCCTAACTCCCTCCCAGACCCCACACCCCCAGCCTAGAACCTCCTCTTGCTCCCCAGCCCTTTCAAACCCTCTGGTGGCTCCACTTTCTTCCCAGGGCTCCATGCTCCACCCAGCAGCTTTGCTGCCGCTTGGGGGCTCTGTACAGCCCCCAGCACCCTGCCCTGGGGGTTCTGTGCTCCCGCTGGCAGCCCTGCTGCTGCCCTTCTCCCCAGTGACAGCGAACTCCACTCTCCCCCTGTCCCTCAGTGACCAAGGGCTCCGCACTCCTCCTCGCAGCTCCCCTAGTTTCGCAACGCTCCTGGCCCCAGCCTGCCGGCTTATCCCGTTGAGTACTCTGATGGGGTCACCCCAACAATGCTGTACCAGGGAAGTCCAGATTATGGAGTTTCATCCTGTAGTGCACTAACTTGGGACTTAGCGAGTGTGGCAAATTCAAGTGACTTCACAGTGTTTCCTGCGGCCTTTTAACTTGTATATTATAGTTCTCCCAGGTCCCTGCAGAACTGTGAAAAATCCCTAGCATTTGTCATCAGCAAGTCCGCTGAGTGGCCCAGGGAGGAAGCCCCTGCGCTCAGCGAAAACTGATAGCACCAAACGCGTTGAAATCCCCACATTTGTGCCATCAGCAAATCTCCTGTAAGTCGTTTAGTTGCTCAGTCACTGTGAAGTATGAGGATTAGAAAGAACAGAAAGCAGAAGATTAGATGGAAAACTGAAAATGTCAAGACTACAGGCTTGTACATACCTCACCCCCCTCCCCAGCCTGACCTCCCCCACCGTCTCAATGGGAGCAGAATAGAGAGGATTTTCCTGTTGTGATGGGATGGATTAAAAAACCACGTGTGGCCCTTGACTTGACTAACTTTAGAAGGGGGTAAAGTCTCTTCCCCTAAGAAAACCAGGTAAGAAGCAGGGATGTAAAATTCCATTTAAAATGTTAACCAGTTAAACTAGATGTTTTATGGTTAACTGGCCAGCAGCGGCCCCTTGATCATGGCATAGCATGGTAGGCCTGGCTGGGCTGAAGCGGCCCCCTATTCGTGGTATGGTGCGGGTGGGGGCTTTTCCATCTGGACCAGGCAGGGCCTGTTGCACTGCGCCACAGATGGGGGCTGCTCAGTCCAGGTCAGACACTTGTTAACCGGGTACCCCTCTCCATCCCTAGTAAGAAGCCGGACGAGAAGGCAGCAGACATGTCCTCCAAGAAAGCTGGTGCTGTCCTGGTGGCCCCGGCGTTTGATCACGGTGCAGTTTGGGTGCCAAGTGGCTGCAAGGATTGGTTGGCAGTCCATAGTGTGATTCATCGCGGAGACAATAATGAATTAGAACTTCAGCTTGCAAGCTGGAAACAAAATCAGCCAGCTTAGGCCTCTCTATCATGGATTCCCCACACGGATCTAGTCTTGCTCCTTTTCCCTTTCGACAGATGCACTTACGATTTCCCAACAACCCAGCCAGTAAGCGGATATATGTGGATGACATTTATCTTGCAGGTGCGGGTGTTGAGCTCTGTAGTGTTGAAGAGTCCCTCAAATGGGACATGAATGCTCTGACCACTTACCTCTTCAGTGCAGACACATTGAGGGCACAACCTTCCTTCTCAGCAACCGCCTGACCCACCAACCCCTTTACGGACTGTGCTGCCCACTCCCTTTCCAGCAAGTTGCCACTTATTTAGGAGTCAAACTGGACTATAATCTAATATAGCGCTCCCATCTAGCACTCCTTAAGAAAAGGATCCTTGGATCTAGAAGTCTGTGGGCATAAGACAGTCAGATATCCCTTAGCGTCATCAGCCATGGTGATGCATAGGCTGAACTGTGTGGTGGGAAATTAGTGATGACGGATTTACCCCAGATCCCAGGTCTGGGCTTTGAATTGCCCCCAAATCTGTTCATGTTCAGAATCAGTTCGTGTTTGGGGCCCTGCCCCTTGTATAATATGCATCCAAATGCTGGGGAGTGCCAACTGGGGTTGGATTAGAGCAGTGGTCCCCAACTTTTTGGGGCTGCCGGGCGCCTGGGGGCAGGGCTGCGCATGCACCGTGTGACCGGGGGCGGCACTGTGCACGCGCCATGCGCCCAGGGTGGGGGCCAGCGCATGTGCCGTGAGCCCGGGGGCAGCACCATGCCTGCATCGTGTGCCCGGGGTGGGGACTGTGCATGTGCTGGGCGCCCAGAGTCCGGGGCGCAAGGATGGCTCGGGCCAGCCCTGGTCACTAGGCGAGCGCACATAAATGCCCCGGCAGGCACCGCACAGGCACCGCATTGGGGACCACTGGATTAGAGTATTTAACTTTCTCAAACTCAAAGGCTTTTCCCATTGCTAAGGAAATCATGGATCAGCAGTGAAGAAACAACTCTTAACAGAGGACACGTATCACCATCTAGTGGACAAACCAAAAGATCTTACAAAAGTAACGATGTCTCTGAGTTAGGAGCATTAGAGTTGGGACTAATGAATTTCCTTAAGTAACTAATAAAAATAAATTAGATAAGGTCTGTTATCTCAGACAGAGTTTCCTTATCTTGTGGTTAAGATGATAGCAGAGCAGTTGCCTAGCAGGGAGAGCATGGGAAAAGCAAACCTGAGCTCTTCAGGTTGTCATAAAGGTCAACCACGTCCTTTGCGAGAAGATCAGTTTGAGGCATGGAATCCACTGTGGGATGCTAAGTGCCTTCTCCTTCCCCGATGGAAATTAGCTAACACAACTGACACTGGGTGGGCCTATGACACCTTAGAGACTAACCAAAATATATAGAATCATGAACTTTGGTGGGCAAACCCCACTTCATCAGATGAATTGGAGTGGAAATAACAGAAATCAAGATAAATAGATATAGATATAGATCTATAACAGCAGCAGCAGAAGTAGTACCTGTTAATTGTAGAACCCAAGTTAATGAAGCTAATTAAGTGGGCTGGAGGTGTCCAGTACATAGCTTTTGATGTGAAAGTGCAGATATTAATGGCAGGAGAAATTGGCTGTGTAATGTGCCAACTAGTTAATGTCTTTGTTTAGCGCATTACAAAGCCAATTTCTCCTGCCATTAACATCTGCCTCTACAAGTTCGCATTAATAGCTCTTCACTTTTCTAGTTCGGATTTTCTTCTTTTTTTTAAAGCGCAAGCTCCACCTGTTGGAGAGCTGGTGAATTATTCTGGATAGGTTTAAGGGGCAGATTTCATCTGCAGGGTTTTTCCCTGGAAATTGTGCCTTGGCATTTCTTCACCCTGAAAGTGTCAATTGGGATTCTGAAACTTTGGCCCTAAGTTGGCTTTAATGGATAAGGAAAAGCTTTCGTGGCCACCCAGAGACGCAGGTAGGAAAACGTGAGAAATGTGGACTGGAGCTCTGCTGTTACCCACACCATTTGGCAGCCTCACACTTACATTTATGCCCATTCTCTGCAGCTAGGCTTGTGGCTAGTTCTGGTTGAAGGACTGTGGTAAGTAAAACATCAAATGAATTTGTCCTTTATCCCTGAGTAGTTTGCGGCTTGCTTTAAAATGTTTTTTGTTTTGTTTTTTGCTGGCTCATTTGCCATTATAGTTTATACAAAAAAAATCAGCAACCAGAAGTTCCCTGTTATAATCTCAGTAGCGCTGTTCCTCACAGCATTGCAGCCTCAGTTTCCCCTTGTCTTTTGTGACTCTACCCAGTCACCTCAATGACTTAGTCCCATGGCTTAGAGGCCCCACACTCAAGCCTATCAGCACTTCTCTCCCACTCCTAGTCAGAACACACCACATTCCTTCTTCCCATTGACAGGAAGGGAGCTGATCCTAAGCTGATCCCATTGACTTCCCGGAGCTGATCCCAAGCAGTCGGACACACCCTGCTCAGTCGTGGTGGGGCAGAGCTGGCCAGCCGCAGGCCTCTGGGGCCTTAAAAGGGGCAGGCTGCCCTGTTACTTTGCCCAGCTGCCTTGGTCAATGCATTGCTTTCTGGCTGCTTGGGATCAGCTCCAGTCAAAAGGGAGCTCAGCTGGCACTGTTTGCTGTAGCAATTAATAAGTACACGTTTCATGCCGCAGGCTGGGCTGCTTTCCTGACACAGATCTGAGTGGAACAAGTCGACACATATTTAGGCGCCTTTGCACTAGGCGCCTTTGCATTGAGCTGACTGCAAATGAAAAAAAATGTCTTTCAGGCTTTGCTGTCTTCCTCCAGCCAAACGCCCTGAGGTGGGAAAAATGGACCAAACTCCTGTTCTCTTTCCCCCTGAGTTATTAGAACAGAGAATCAGCTGATGTAAGTGGGGGTAGCTCCACTGATGTCAAGGATCTGATCGAGCTGAGCTGGTCGGATCTCACTACAAAGAGATTTCCTCTCAGTGTTTGCAAGTATGGTCTTTAAACACGCCATTGTGCGAATACAATCATCTGCTACTCAAGCCTTTATTGAGGTCACAATATACACGAGTCATAATGCTGTTGGAACGGACCAGAAGTTGTGATGCTGCTTCAGGTTCTTCTTGTGACTCAGGGAAAGCAGAGGTCTTCATGCATCCCCATCAATGGAGGACCGTTCTTCCTTTTCATTGCTGCTTTGGCTTTGCACCTACAAAGGTGAAACAATGACCAAAGATTATGCTGCTTATAGAAGTGAATCATCCAAAGGAATTCATGCCGGGTTCCTTTTCCCTTTGATGCTTAGCCAGGATTGCTGAGCCAGGGACCTTGCTAATGTAGTTTGTTGTAAGTGGAAAAAGGATGTCCATGTATCAAATACATGTTGCTGAGTTCTGTAAAAGGCCCATGAAACATTGCATGAAGGGGGGGACAGTCAAAGGGATGAGTGGGAGTTAGAAACCCAACTCCTCCTGAAATTCACTGGTGACAGCTCCACCTGGCTGACTTGAGAATCCCAGCCTGGAATGTCAGCTGCCAATTTTGTGCATTAATTTACTAAAAAGAGCGTGGCAATTTCCCCTCTCATTTAAAAAACTATTATCCTCCTAGAGAGAGTTACATTCTGTTCCCAGCTGTTCTGCTCTGCACACCTGGGACAGTCAGTGAATGTCTCTATCCCTCCTTATCCCCATGGGTAAAGTTGTTTTACTCCTCCTCGTCTTTGGTTACGAAGCCTTTGAAGTTTTGGATGAAAGACTGAACACACACTAGTAAGGATCAATAAAGGTGCTAAATGTGGAATCATTGATTTCAAATCCATTTTAAGTCTAGCTTCCAAACTAGGATCAAAGCAAATTAGAAAGTCTTCCTGCTGTTGTTTTTTCCTCCAATGATTCTTATAAATCAAAGTAAAAAACAAAAACAAATGATCAAAATAATTATAAAGTGGAAATTGATCTAGTATGTGGATTAGGATACAAATGTCCCCAAAGTTTGGATGTGTTTGGATCAGGGATTAAGTCTGGGCCCATCTCAAGTAAAACAGTGACTACAACCAAGGATAATTGTTATTTTCTCTTTTTCTACATCAGTCTATGTGACTGTATATCGAAGGACATGATTATTGCATAATAACAAAGTAATACAACCAACCAACTGATCAAACAATTCTCGACTAAAAATGCCTCCTGAAACTCTGCATTCTATTAGCAAAATGATCAAAAGGAAAAAAATTCAGACTTGTTTTTTCTGAGGTTGTACAAGGAACAAAATGACCCAAGAGCATAGTCTCTGTCCTCTCCCTTTCAGAACAAAAATGCCTTTGCTAAGCCTTTCCCATGAAGAAATGCATTTGGTGAAGTCAGCAAAGATCTCGACTTAGGCCAGGATAGTGACAAAACAACAATGGTTATTCCTCGGCTCACGTGCATTGGTAGAGCCCTATTAAATTAAATGGAGCTACAAGTGGTCTGCACCAGTTGAGAATCTGGTCCCATGCGGCAGTTTCCTCTTCTGCATTATCCTCTGGTATGTCTTTGTGGCAGGCTCCCCTTGAGTTCTGTGCACTCGAGTCACTGCTCTTGAGAATGGCACCACTGAAGTAACCCTTGAGCTGCTAAATCCATGGTGTCACTATATGCATGGAAGCGAGGTACGAAGGCTTTTGGGGACACAGACCATGGTTCTTAGCACTGTAATAAGCCGATCCGTTCTATGACATCTCTCCCGATGAATTGTGGGAGAACTTCTCTGGCTTTTCTGGGCACTTGAAAGGAATTGTGGGAAGGCATGGCTGGAACAAAGGCTCTCCAGGGATGCTTGCTTGCATCTCCATTATGAAGAGGTCATGCTAGCAGCTGATAGCTTGCACTCAGCATTCTTTTGAGCTAGCCAACCTTCAAGGGGAGTGGATTTGTGTGTGGACAGGACTTGAGTTACACGCCACACACACATTATAACTCAGGCTCACTTTTGCTGTGAAGACACACCTGAATGCACTGCTCTATTGTGGCTGTCTTTCCCTGTGGACAATGTTGCCCCTAGCTCCCACGTACACTGGGCAAATATATTGCTGTTCACCAGTATGGAAGCTCGCCTGTGCTGAAGAAGAGGCAGGATTGTGCTCCCAGTCCTCTTATTCAACCCAACTGGTCCAGTTGAGCTGCTGGGAGCCTTTGGTGTTGGTGGAGGAGGGGCAGGGCTTATTCCTTAGCATTAAAGCACGTAACTTGTGTTCAGAGTTCATGCCTAAAAACTGATCTAAAATCACACAGGTTGCACTAAGCACCATTCTAAGGCAAGTAATTCATTTACTGTGCTCTCTCATTCGCCCAGTCTGTGGAAAGACCTGACAAATGGCGGCCCACAGCTTCCGTCTGCAGTCATCCGGTCCTTGTCCCACGAAGCATTTACCAGTTAAGTCACACAATAGACACCACCTACCTACAAAGTCCCTACCAGACTTGGCACCTACCTAGGGAGCTTTTGTTATTGTTGGTATTTCCACACCTAGATCAACATGCAGGATTTGTGGTCACATGTGTGTCCAACTTCAGCGTTAATCTGAAAACGAGGCAAAAGAGTCCTTTATTATGCGGTAGCTTATTTATAAACCAATAAGGAGAGTCACGCCCACCCAGGAACCCACCCCTGCAATAAACCCTGCTGCCAACTCTGTCCACACATCTATTCAAGCCACACCATCACAGGGCTTAATCACATCAGCCACCACAGCAGGCGCTCATACAACTGCACCTCCTCTAATGTGATCAATGCCATCAAGTGCCAGCAATGCCCCTCTACCATGTATATTGGCCAGACTGGACAGTCTCTGTGACAAATGATAAATGGACACAAATCAGACACCCGAAATGTTAACACACAAAAACTAGGAGGGGAACATTTTAACCTGCTTGGGCACTCATTAATGGACTTAAAAGTAGCCATCCTTCTACAAAGGAATTTCACAAGCCAACTACAGAGACAGAGCGTGGAATTGACTTTCCTACGCAAGTCTGACACTGTTTCCCTTGGTCTGAACAAAGACATGAACTGGATGGCCCTTTAGAAAACCAGCTTCCCTTACACTTAACATTTCATTGACATCAAAAGCTAAGTATGGAATACTTCCAGCCCACTCAGTTAACCTCAGAAGTACTGGCTCTACAATCGACAGGTATGTTCCTCCCCGCCGCTTCTTCTTCTGTTATAATTCGGAGAGTCCTCCTTTGCTTCTCCACTCAAGCTCATATTTGTTAGTCTCTAAAGATGTGTCTAGACTACATGGCTCCGTTAACGGAGCCATGTAAATTAGTTTATTCGGCATAGTCAAAGGAGCGGGGATTTAAATAATCCCTGCTTCATTAAAATAAACATGGCTGGCGCGCTGTGCTGACGATCAGCTGATTCGACACAACGCGGCAGTCTAGACGCGGATCTGTCGGCTGGGGAAGCCTTTGCTGACCAATCCTGTAAACCTCGTTTCACGAGGCATAAGGGATCGGTCGGCAAAGGCTTCCCCAGCCGACAGATCCGGGTCTAGACTGCCGCGCTGTGTCGGGTCAGCTGATCGTCGGCACAGCGCGGCAGCCATGTTTATTTTAATGAAGCAGGGATTATTTAAATCCCCGCTCCTTTGACTATGCTGTATAAACTAATTTACGTGGCTCCGTTAACGGAGCCATGTAGTCTAGACACACCCTAAGGTGCCACAGGACTTAAGGTACGTCTAGACTACAGGCTTTTTTTGACAGAGGCTTTGTCAACAGATACTATTGACAAAGCCTCTGTTGACAAAGAGCATCTAGACTACAGCCAGTTCTGTCGACAAAGCAAGCCACTTTTTCAACAGAGAGTCTAGACGTTCTTTTTTGAAAAAGCACAGTGTGGATGCAATAGTGCGTTTTTTCGACATAACTCTGTCGAAAAAAGGCATTATAGAATGAGGTTTACTTACTGTCGATAGAACTCGGCGGTAGTGTAGATGCAGGTATAGTTTTGTCGACAAAAGTCCACTTTTGTCAACAAAACCCTGTAGTCTAGACACGCCCTTACAGACCAACTTGGCTACCATTCTGAGCCTTAGGAGCTCATATTCAGCTGATTATCTGCTGAGACCCTCAAATCTTTTTCAGAGTCACTGCTTTCCAGGACAGAGTCCTCCATCCTGTGAGCACGGCCTACAAAATTTTTGTTCCCACATATATACGTTTACATTTAACTATATTAAAATGCAGATTGTTTGCTTGTGGGCTGTTCACTGCGTGATCCAAATATCTCTGAATGAATCAATGACCTCTCCTCTTTATTATTTGCCTTGATTTTCTCTTTATGGTCATCTGCAAAATTTATCAGTGAGGATTTGTTTTCTTCAAGGTCATTGATAAAGATGGCTTGTTTGTTGAGCTACTGGCCACTTGCCAGGAAAGTAAGAAGCATTAAGTGTGGATATTGAGTCAAGAGGGCTTAATCGCCCCAGGTAATCTGGTACTGGTACTGCCTGGACACCCGCCAAGGGTGCCACTTAGGTCACATCTATATTGGGCACTGGAGAGTTGGTGCCCAATATAGATGTGACCTAAGTTGAATTGGTGTTCAATTTAGCGGGTCTATTAAAGAGCACCCCCGGTGAGGGTGCCCCTGGTCAGCGCTAGCACTCTTTGCAGTCGCGAGGAGTAAGGGAAGCCGATGGGAGCGTTTGCCACTGGGAAGACGGTGCCAAGCTCGGCTGAAGGTAAGTTGACTCCAGCTATGCTATTTACACAGCTGGAGTTGCGTACCTTAACCCGACCTTCTGGGTCTAGTACAGACCTGGCCTTAGAGCGCGCCATCACTACTAAGTATTCCTGTAGCATACTTTCTCTTGGGCCCCTATATGGAGGCTAAGCATGGCCCCCTTCATGCCCACTGGCCCATGCTAATACTGTAGTATCCTCTCCAGTGGGCATGGGGTAAGGTGGAGTATGGGCAGCACAAGGGAGTGTAGTGCACGCAGTCAAAAAATAAGGGAACTTCTCCTTCAGGGTAACCCCGCTTGGTGCTCCAGGAGGAGTCTGGGCGTTGGACGCAAGGGTGGAGGTAGAACCCTGGGAAGGAACTGGGGGCTGCCGGTTCTGCAGGGGCCTCTTGTTGCACCCGCAGATAGGAAGAGAGGTAGTAGGGCTTAGATGGATTCAGGGACAGAGAACCCACCGGTGCCTGCATTCACTGGACAGTGCCCTCCCAGAGCAATGACGGAATCAGTAAGAAAGCTACTGAAGCGTAAGGACTCCAGGACTTTGGGGGTAGGGCAGGTTCCCTCCTCCATGGCTTTATCGAGGATCCCTAGCGAAGACAAAAGCTGGCTCTTTGGGAGGTGTGGAGATTTGACCCTAAATGTAGTTTAGTGGCAGGGGGAGTCACATGACAGATGACCACCAAAGTCTATCCACGGAACAGAGCAGAGAAAGAGAGGGCACGTTACCTTCAAGCCACAGGACACAGGAGGTGCATTCATAATACAGCACGTGGAGGCGAAATTGGCTCTCTTCTCCACCAGCTCTGTGAGGACGTCTGGGGTTGCGTCCGGCATAGTCTTGCTGAAGCTCTCTTTTAGTCTGCAATGTGGTGGCAGAGGTCAGATTTTGAAGGACACTTCAGTGACAGAATAAGCACTAAAAATTCCTTCAAGCCACAGGACACAGGAGGTGCATTCATAATACAGCACGTGGAGGCGAAATTGGCTCTCTTCTCCACCAGCTCTGTGAGGACGTCTGGGGTTGCGTCCGGCATAGTCTTGCTGAAGCTCTCTTTTAGTCTGCAATGTGGTGGCAGAGGTCAGATTTTGAAGGACACTTCAGTGACAGAATAAGCACTAAAAATTACACCAATGAGCTGTTCAATTCATGTACAAATGCATCCATGATAAAACACTCACTGACTTTAAGGAGCATAGGACAGCACTCAACCAGCCTGATTCACTGCACCCACCAGCAATGCTCCCTCTAATTTGTGTGATCTTTGTGTGGAATAAATTTTCTTATGTGCACCAAGATATGTATGGATGTGCACCACCAATAGAAACACATTCTGCCAGCGGTGGGCACTGTGGGCATTCTGCTAATCAGCTGGGCATCCCCTGACTCTTTCCTGGATGGTCGCCCATGCCCACAGTTTACAGAGAACACTGCCCACCAGCAACCTCAGCAACTAGCAGCCCCACCTTAAAACTAACGCAGGCAGAAGATATTGTCTGCTTTCCTTTCAAGGGACATCTCCTGTGGGCCACAGGTAATGTACAGACTCCTTAATTCTGAGTGTTTTCGTCTGGACACAGGTCACATGGTCTATTTCTATGCTGTGATTTGAAGAGCCCACTTTTCAACAAAGGTTGCAGTGAATAGTGGAGAGGATTCACTTCAGATGGCCATGTGTCCCCAAATGCTCCTGCCAGTGAAAGTCACCAGGACAGCTCTAGAAAAATGAACTTGAAAGAGGCAAAGACACAGCGGAAATGAAGGTGGTTAAAAAGGCATAGGAATATCCATAAGAACATAAGAACGGCTGTACTGGGTCAGACCAAAGGTCCATCTAGCCCAGTAGCCTGTCTGCCGACCG